AAAGTTAAACCTAAAGTTTGTTTTATAAGACAGGATAGATATTATATTAGATATAATATAAATGTAACGAAATGTTTTCCTGCTTTCTACTGTTGTACATAAATAAACCGTTATTCGCGTACGCTGACCATAAACCTGCGTTAATTTACATCAGGGTGTCTGATATATTTGACTCTTTTGCGATGTTTTCTTCATGTCCAGCGACGGAAATCATCTCCTATTTTGGCCGAACTTAATAATTAATAATTGAAGTTTTTATTGATCTCAGCAGTGGGCTACCATCGTGGGGCACCCGGAGAGCAATCGGGGCTAAGGGTCTTGCTCAGAGACCCAGAGCGGCACTTGGAGGTCACATCATGTTACACTAAAACCAGAAAAGAAAAAGGAAAGAAGAGCTGCTGGAAGAACGGAAAAAAACTTCAGAAAATAAACACGTTCTTTCAAAGAACAGAAGAAGGAAAGGTGAACGCTGCTGCTATTAACCAGTCCAGTCAGTAGTGGACTGGTTGCTTATGTTGCTTATGGGCCTATTGTTGTGTCATTATGCCACTGTAGAACCCAAAATTAATCAATGATGTTGGATTTTTTTAACCGTTTTAATTCTTAATTTTCGATTTCAAACCAATCTCTGAGTTAGACTCAGGGTTCAGCAGTTCCAACAGCGGAGATCTATCTTCTGACCCACCTGTCGTAGTCCTGGCAGATCTCCCCCACGGCCACCAGGGCCTTCAGGTACTCGTTAGGCTGGTAGGGGTGGATGTAATGCAGAGAGCAGCTGTTCCGAGGGTCGCCGTTAGACGCCGTGAAGTCGATTGCCACCTGCAGGGAGAGCAGCCAATCAGACGCTCCGGTTTCTGCTTCATCAAACAAACAAACAGAAACGGCGTAGGTACCGGATCTGCTCAGGGCCCCGCCCCTTCTTATGACACCAACATATGGCAACTCCACTCGGACAAACTGTGTTGCACCCGTTTCTGAAGGATGACATTTCTTCTGGAATCTCAACATATTATTACTTATATTTGCATTTATTTTACATTTCATCAGTGATCTAAAGAAGCCGAACGTAGAAAACAATCATTTCAGTCTGGAAGGAAAGTTCTGCCTTCTAAGGCTGGCTGGATGTGCTCTCTTCATCCTCTGACATGGGAGCTGGCTCGGAGCTCGTCTGCCTGGCTGTGTGTTTCCTGGACGGGG